CGGGCAAATGCCCGGTATGCCCGATGGCCAGTCCAGCTATGACTCCCTGTATACATCAATGATTTGGTTTTTGATCCAAACTTTGGCTATAATTGACATAGTTTGTGCAAGAAAAGATGAGCCGGATGTGAGGAATAAAAGTTTTGGAATCTTCTAACAGATCTGGTATAGTGTGAGGAAATCCTGGAAAGCAAAACATAAAATTTCCCTCAGGGTGGAAAATAAAGCAGCATTTCCTTCTTTAAATATGTTGTTTTCAATTTTTAAATTGGCAGTGGCATGAATCTCTTTCAATGCATTTAATTTTTTATTTGCTTTTAGGCCCAAATGTTCCAGCACATTGGATTCTGCTATATTAATTGCCTTAACACAGTAGCAACTGAAGTATAAACATCTATATACTTGAGGATATAGTCGGTGTTCTCTGGAAATAATCAGTAACAGAAAGTGTAAATGAAGAACCATGATTACTTAGGATCGTTTCTGTTTGACCATTCACTCTGACATAAACACAGGGCCAGAACATCAATTGCAACCCTGAACACAGCTTACAATGACTGTTAAGGAAGTTAATGTGATTTTTTTTACCTCTTGCTTTCTCTTCATGTTTTCCCTCTGCCTGTTTCTTTTCTCTCCCTTCCAGTGTCCCCACACACACATACGCATTTACATTCTTTATTTCTTTCTTCGCACTTGCTCTCCCTCTCTTAGCTGAGTTAGAGCTGTCAGAGTTGACCTGTCTGTCTCTCTCCCACTGAGCACTCTGCATGATTCAACCGTATACAGAGACACACATCTTTTCCCCAGTCCTATTCTTTCCCAGGCACGTTGTGTTTAATTAACTTCTCAGTAGCATGAAAATTGCTTCTGTTTTTGTTTTGTTTTTTTTGTCTCTGAGATAAAATTGCATGGGTCTTATTGAGAAAGTGTCAAGATTGTCATTGAGAGTGGAAAGTGATGGCTTTCAGCAGTGGAGAGGCATATGTACACAAAGCTGGGTCAGTGGTGTGTGTGTGTGCTTTGTGAGTCTCCCACAGCGACTAACAGTGAGGCGGCAGGTTTGTGTCTCTTTATGAAGCAATCTGGAAAATGGCTGCAAGAAAAGGTTGCAAGTTGGTCGATCCACTACTTTGATCCAGCTGAAATACCTCAAAAACTACTTTACAGTAGGTCCAAATCCTCTCATGGGATGCAAGATGAAAATATGCTTAGGCTGTGTTCCTGATTTTATTTTAGTTTCTAAGTCACAAACCTTCATGATTGCATCAGTTATAGCCCCTGAGCCCCTTCTTGTTTGCAGTGGTGATGGACAGGTTGTCAGATGAGATCAGGCAGGAGTCTCCATGGACTATGATGTCTACAGATGGCATTGTAATCTGTAGTGAGAGTAGGGAGCAGCTGGAAGAGAGCCTGGAGAGGTGGAGGTATGGTCTGGAGAAAAAAGAAATGAAAGTCAGTAGAAACAAAACAGAATACGTGTGTGTGAATGAGAGTGAGACAGATGGAAAGGTAAAATTGCAAGAAATGGAGATGGCAAAGGTAGACGATTTTAAATACCTGTGTTCAACCACCCAAAGGACAATGCGCAAGAGAGGTGAAGAAGAGAGTGCAGGGAGGGTGTAGTGGGTGGAGACGATTGTCAGTGGTCATTTGTGAAAGACAGAGACCAGCAAGAGTGAAAGGGAAGGTTTACAAGTTGGTAGTGAGACCTGCTATCATGTATGGTTTGGAGATAGTGATACTGGTAAAAAGACAGGAGGCAGAGTTGAAGATGCTAACAATTTTATTGGGAGTGACCACAATGGACAAAGTCAAAAATTAGTTTATCAGAGGGACAGCTCAGGTGGAGCACTTTGGAGAAAAAGAGAGTCGAGGATGACATGAGGAAGGATCTTAGAGAGAAACCAATGGGTGTAGTAAAGGAGGATGTGCAGATGGTTGGTGCGACAGTGGAAGATGGTAGGAATAGGGTGAGATGGAGGCAGATGGATACACCCTGATGACTCCGAAAGAGTGCAGCCAATAGAAGAAATCGGCAAAGACCTTTTTCCCAAAGATTTATTTATTGCTTTTCCAAAAGTATTTTAAACAAGGAAGACAGAGAAAAATAAAATGAAATGAAATAAAGGAGAAAATAAATAAAAATTGAGTGTGTAATAATAATAATGCATGCTCATCATGTATAGACGGTGTGCGTAAACACACAGATACAGATATATGCACTCACCCATGGAGATATACCCATATATTGTTTAAAAAAACACCACACAAAAACAAGGGAACAGACAGTGCTCAAAGACCAGGTACAACACAGTGAGACATTAGGTTTAAGTTCGTTACTTCAGGGTTTTTGGCGGGAGTTTAGTCCAAGGATTTCAAGTTAGTTAGAAAGGCATCCGACAAAACGGCTGCAGCAATGAGCTGTGTCCTCTTCCGTTTCAGTCCATCTAATTTCACATCTCCATTTCCTGCCCTTCCATTGAACAGTCCAGCATAAGCTCCCCAGGTTCTCTTCAAAAATCAAAGTTAAATGGGTACAGCCATATCTGTTCACTGTCGGTCATCTCCTCACATTCCAAAAACGACCAAAAATTTCCCCACATCTTTTTAAAGGAAGCATGTTTACCCTTAATCACAGATGTAAGTTTTTCCAAACAAGGGATTTCGACAATGTCAAAAGCCAAGTTCTCAAGTGTGGTCTAGTAATGGATCTCCATGATTTGGCTATGCTATATTTTGCATGTATATAAAAAGAAATCATCTCCTTTTTAACCTGTAACAGAAGTAGATTGTAGTTTTTTGGTGAACTTTGCTCAGCTGGCTTTCAGTGGGGAAAATCCCTAGGATACATAATTTAGGACACGGATTCAGCTTAACACTTGTAATACGCGCAATGACATCTGAAACCTCTTTCCAAAACTTTTGAATTTCTGAACATTCCCATAGGCAATGCATCAGTGTGCCTTTATCCCCACATTTAACACATATGTCTGGAGTTTTAGGGTCAAATTTGTTTAACAATGTTGGGGTGACATATGTTCTCATTAGCCATTTATACTGGATTCGTTTAAATTGGGTGTTTATAGATTGTTTTTGGGCTTTCAAGCAGACTTTTTGCCATTCCTCTGTGGTTATTCTACACTTTAAGTCTTGACACCATGCAAGTCTGTGTTTTTTTTCTGAGAACGTTTGAGAGCCGTCTCTGAGGTTGCTATAAAAGCAGGATATTAAGCCCTTCTTCAGCTGATGGTTTATTGCTATGTCCTCTAATGAGGTAAGAGTGGGCAGTGTTAGGGATTTTTGAGTGTTTGAAATAAAGCTTCTGATTTGAAGAAATGTTTAGTTGGAATGCCAAATTTCCGTGTCAAGTCATTAAAGCACATTAGGGTGTCCTTGTCAAATAGGTCTGCAACTTTGCACAATCCTCTGGCAGCCCACATTTTAAAACCCAAATCTTTCTAACTGGGTTCAAAGGTCTTATTACCCCAGATAGGCGAGAACTGGGTAGTGCTGGTGTCTCATTTTTAAACTTAAGTGCATCGAACCAGACACAAATGGTATTTTTAACAAACGGATTCAATGTATCTTTCATCAAATCTTTATATTTTGCTGAGTACAGGCAAGAACTGAGCGGTAAGGGGGTGCTTGTCCTTTCTAAATTTACCCAGGATGAGGTTGTCGTTAAAATCCAGCAAAAAGCTGTAGAGAGTTGGGCAGCCCAGTAGTACCATTTGAGGTTTGGAATACCCAGACCTCCCCTATCATACGGAAGATACATTAACAATAGGCGTAGTTTGGCTCGTCTGTTATTCCAAATGAATGGAGTGAATATTGTTCTTGCCTTAGTGAAGAAGTCATCTGGAGGGCTGAGAGGAATGGCTTGGAAGAGAAAGAAATTTTGAGAGAGTGTTCATCTTAAGAATGTTTATGCGTCCAATCAGAGAGATTCATTTTGGTTTATTTCTTCTTTACTGTGCATCACCAGTCCTAGTTCTCCATTATAATTGTTAAATGTGAGACTTAAAAATGCTATTAACACTTTGTTGTTATTAATGGTTTGGTTTTGTACAACAAGAATAGCCCTGTGCAGATGAAATAATATATAATTTTTGTAATGACATTACATCATGACAATGACATTGACTGTAAGAAAAATTCAGTTAAAACAAAATTAGAATAATGATATAAAAATAGGATTGCATTAACATGTCTGCTTCTTTCAGAGATTTAACTTTGGTCGTACCAACCAGGCTAAAATGTATGTAAAATTTATAAATAATTAAACTTAATAAGTAATCTGAAGGTCTTTCTCAGTTGCCAGGCTCAAGGTTGCAATGCTTTGCACTAAACAAAAATAATGTAACAATAAGTGAAGTAATTAATCTCAAGAAATGCACTGGACAACAGGTTAACAGTTAACTATTTCTTGTTCTATATAGTTGTAGACCATGGATGATCATCTTTTATGGAACAACGTGAGAAAAAAATGCAGAATTTTTAATCCACCGGTCCCCTGCATCCACTCTAAAGCTTCGAACCCCTCTGAATTTCTCCATTTATTTTCTGTTTATTTTCTGTGTGCGTGTGTGTGCGTGTGTGTGTGCGTGTGTGTGCGTGCGTGAGATGATATACGTAAACATGTGTTTATGTGCTGGTAATGAATATGAGTTAGTGGTGGTAACCTTCTCTCCCTGCTCAGAATTTGTAAAGAGAAAATTATTGATTACTGTTCAGTACACACACTCTGATGAGAATAAATATGCTCTTAAATTGTGTGTGTCATGGACTTCTTGCCCCCTTATTTTGTACCCTATCGAAATTTTACTGCTGTGCATTAAAATTTGTGTGCATTCATGTTCTTGTTAATGGGTCTGTCTCACTTAATCATGCTGCTGAACAACTAATAATGTATGGAGCAGACGAAAGACCGGTAACCATTAAACACACTTGATGTATCTGCAATGTTACATAGAGGGCTGAAAATATTTCTTTCTGTCTAGACTTGTGATATACCTGGAGAGAGACCTCCGCAAAGCCACTCCTCTCAGAGAGAACCCCAGCCAATCAGGATACTTGTCTCAGTGTCTCAATTTACTGATTGCATATCTGAGCAGCACCGCACCAGTGATAATGGGTACACACACAAATACACACACTACTGTATGATTATCCATCTGCCATTTGTGTTTTCACCTCCATGTGTACAGAAATTTGTAAATCAGTTCATTTGACATGTTGATTTTTTTGATTTCCCTTACCATTACTACATCTGAGATCTTTTTTAAATCTGACATCTACAAAATTCATTGTCAGGTTACTATGGAAACTTGATTTGTTTCTGGTTCTTGTGCTAGAAGAAAAAATGTGATACTTAGGAAAAATAGACGCATATATTTGTAGGGTTTAAGACGCCAGAGAAATTTACCAGTATATAATATAATATAATATAATATAGTATATGATATATAATATATCTTAATAAAGATAGATGATAGCCACCTTCTTAAATTCCTTCTCATCTGTTTGCGACTCCTTGCCTTGTCTCCTTTCTTTAGAGGATGTTCTGTGTACCCTCAGAGGAGTGATTGGGAGAAGACACCCAACTACTGCTCAAAGTAAACAACTCAAACAAACTTTGCCTACTTTGTCCATAGTGCTGGACCTTGTTTCATCCCAGGTAAATGGAGCAAAATTACTTCTCCACAGTGTTTGGTTTTAAAACCTTTAGCAGTTTCTCACATAGATTTTCTCATAAATGACAAACAGCAGTTCTTATTTTTGAACACAGAGTTTTCATTTATTTAGTACATGGCACTAAAAGAAATGTCAGGAGGCTTTCCAAAATAGTCAATAATAAAAACGAGGCAGACCTAAATCATCACCTCCCTCCCTGCTTGTTTTGTAACACTCTCAGTTGTCACCTGATCACATTATCTTGACTTACCTTTGTAAAATGTGTCTTCTGTCTCCTCACAGGTCTTTAGATCTCACATTGTAGCAGGACAGTTTCTGGCTCAAATTGGGTTGCTGTTGGTAAGTGTTTGGTAACCAGTCATAAATTGACACATTATCTGTCTCCACATGCTAAAGGCAAATAATAAAACTAACAGATAGGGTGAAGTGAAGTTTTTAGTTGATCACATTTTGTTACTCTAACAAGGAGACATGTTGATTATATATATTTTTTCAATTATAGAATAAATAAAATTAACCTAAATTATTTTAAAGCCAGCAGTGTAGTTACAGTTTTACAAATTGCAGAGACTGGTGGTGCCTTTCTCTCTTACTGTCAGTACTGAAATTCTTAAAACGTCTCTGACATTCACACAACTAACTTTTTATAAGGAAAACTTTGAATGTTTGACAGTTTCAAAGCAAAACTCACATCAAGTTTTTAAATATCTCTTGACAGAACTTCATTGCCTCAGTAGAGTCCAATGAAACAAATCTGGCTAGTGCTATGGGTGAGTATCTTTACAGGTATGAATACTTTATCACTGGATATCAACCCTTGCCATATCTGCAGTAGTATTCCTTTTCACATGATTAGTCTGTGATACTGTGATTCTACAGAGCTTCATGTACTGCATTGTTTGTTAAAGTTGCACAGTGTGTTTGCTTAACTTGCCAGGTTAAATGAAGGATAAAAGAATAAATAACGTAGTTAAAATGATTATTATAAATTCGAGCTTATCTTACAAGTCAATATTGAATTGTATTGACATGGAGATGGTAAGGAGAGAGTCAGATACAGCACTTGAAGACAGCTATGACACTGAATTACAAATGCCTGCCAACAAGGCAAGCTGCGGTGTGGGCTCAGCCACTCTTCAAGCACCTGAATCAAGTGCTGTGATAAAGTGCCGCGCTCGAAGGCCATGTTATCAGCAAATCACAAACAGAATATATGCCTATCCTTAAAAGGTATTCAGTTATGGGTCAGTTTTTATTGAGAACATGAGTATTTGTATTATTATGTTTGATTCTTCTTTAGCTACAGCAATATGTGAAGATTTAATCAGAACATCTCTGTCCATCGTGGAAGTACTGAGCCAGCACCATGCACTCATCAGTCCATATCATAGTGATGTAAGTATCTGTGGAAGAAAATATGCAACTCTATATCCCATTAAATGAATGGTTGAGTGTGCATTTGTTGTAGGTTTTTGACTGGCTACCTGTCTGACTGACTGGCTGTCTGCTGATAGTTTAGTACACCGATATAGGACAGGTATCTTGTGATATTCAACAAATGTCAGTACATTTCCTCTGACGGGACGTTGGAGACAACCTGTCATCATCCTGTTATTCTGTATTTCTGCAACTGTCAGATTTTCAGCATTGATTTTCCCCTTCTCTCATTTAGAAAAAAACGTAATATGCAAGTTGCTTTGCTAGGATAGAATGAATTTCTGTAGACTTTGTCAATAATATGAATTGGACTGTGGTATGTTTACTGTGTGTCTTCCAGTCTACTAAACCTGTCTATTAGTGATCATAGGACAGAGGGTTAGCATGTGGACTATTAGGAGAGACACTAATCAACTATTGAACCGACAGACCTCGTGTGTGTGTGTGTGTGTGTGTGTGTGTGCGCGTGTGTGCGTGAAAGAGAGAGAGATGTTGATGGGATGGGACAATGAGATTGTGTTTAATGACTATTGACATATGGAAGTGGAAAACAGCAGCAGGAAGCTGACAGGATGGAGAGAGAGAAAAAAGAAAAGACTTGAGGAACTGGGGATATGAGCAAAAAGCAAGGCTGTGGATACTGATAGTCAATAACACAGGAAGACACTTTAATTACCCACAGCCAACTCAGATTAGCTTTAATTGTCCTCTGGACAAGGACACACGCTCATTTTTGACTTTGTTTGCGTTTCTAATTTCTTGTCACAGTTTGAAGCTAGTTTGCAGTTAGTTTTGCCTCCACAACTGCTCTTTTGTTAAAACAGATTTTATGTGATGTGGAAAATGACATTTTAAATTGCTGTGCAGACCTTTAAAAAAACTCTCATACCATAACTGAATACTGTTTGAAAATACTTGGGAATGATGTTTTGCCTTGAATGTGCATTTGAAAGATCACTTCATTACTTTTTTTGTTAGACTGTTTAAAAATTAATAGAAAAATAGTTTTCACTAAAAGACTGCAACATAATTTTAAAATACATTTTAAATAGCTACACAACACACAGCTGTACAGTACACAGCAGTTAGTAACAATCAGGTACGATTGTTGTTGAAACCAGCTGTTGTTTTATAACAAGGTAAGTTCTTAAAAAAGTTAACTGAACACTTATTTTTCTTTAGTCATGTTCAAATGCAAATTAGACACTTTAATTACTTTGGATATTTATATTATACAACAAATTATTCTTTAGTTACTGTTGGAGTGATGAGATTTCTTTTCTGCACCACTAAAAAAGCAGCTAGGAGAAAGACAGGAAAACGGACAAATGTGAACAAGAAAGGCTTTCATAAATACGAGGAACGCACTGCCCATAGTTACAGAGTTCAGAGAGAATGCACCCAGATCTGCACGTCTCAACACACACACACGCACGCACGCACGCGCACACACACACACACACACACGGCTCCATGCAGTCTTTTGATGGTTGTGATAGTAATACACCAACCATTAAGTGGTGGACAACATCCTTTGTAGTTTTTTTTCTTCTGGCTTTCAATGTAATGACCTCACACATCCTCACTCAGCATTAGTGGTGTTTCTATGGTAATATTAGTAATCATGCAAATTCATGCAATACAGATTCATACCTAAATAAGAGCTTTGACAGTTGTGAAAATACGCGTGCGTGTCTGTGTGTTTGTTTGATCAAAGAAACCATTCAGCAGTGCATTTCCATAGTAATTTGATCCTCTGTGACAGTGGTCTGTGGTCGATGCTCGCAGAATTAATATAGTACAGCGTCTCCTGTTCATTTTTATCTAAAAATATAGACTCTGTTTTTAGAGATGTTATACAGAATATTAACTCTATAGCTGTTTAGAGGACACCATGATTATGTTTATAAATACCCTCATTTGCCTCAAATTAGAATATATGGGACATTACTGAACTAATATTTACACCTTGTTCTTAAAAGCCGTCAGCAGAGGAGTGGATTTTTATTTCACTTCAGTGTTTTAACCTGAGTCGTTTCACATCCATGACATCATTTGTAGCTGAACTTGTGAAACACTAGATTATAACAGATTTTTCTAGCTTGTTACAGGTTTAATACTAAAACCAACCTGCTTCTTTGGTGACCAGGATCAAATACAGTATCATATAACATTTTTTGTTTGTTTGTTAATGTCTCTTGAAGGTCGTGGATGCCATCCTGCCTCCTCTGACAACAATGGCTTTCAGCAAAAATGGTATGAATGGTGGGGTCAGTTTTTTGAGGAAAGAGAGTGTGAAGGAGAGAAGATGAGGGAAGAATTGTTAATGTCAGAGTGAGAGAGAAAGAAATGGCAAATGGGGAAAGAGGCAGAGCGGGTTCAGAAGCCTGATGGCTGGGGACCTTTAGTTCCTGTCACAGGCAGTGATTTTCTTCTTGTTTCCTGTTTGTTAGGGTTCTAATAATTCTCCAAAGAGACGAGATCACGAAGAAAAAGTTCACTACTTACCTAAACGATCTGTAAATATTACAGCATTTAACAAACTAGCATACTGCCAGCTCCCTTGCGATACAAGTAGATAAAACTGCAATACAGCATTGCTTATGTTTGTACCACAACTGAGCGAAATGCCAAAAAGTAATCTTTAAAAAAAATATATAGGTATCCGCATTTATTAATGACCATATCACCAATACAATAATAACAGCTTCTTTTGGGTTTTGGAACCTGAATGAGTCATTACAGTTTTGACTTTATGGGTCAGTATGCAAAAGAGCCAGCTGTCAGGGTAAAAGGTTTTTTGTTAGCCATTATAATGGTGCTACTTGTTGTCTTGTTGAAGCTCAAAATATTTCGTTTCCATGTGGGTATTTTGTTGTTTTTCCAAGCTTGTTGGTATTCTTACAGTATATATAGTACATATGTGTGCTGTCTAATGTTTCTTATAGTGTCGTGTGAAAAACAACAACAACTGACTCAAAGGCTTGTAGAACCACCTTTAGCAGCACTAACTTGCAGCAATCGTTTTCTGTATGACTTTTCCATTCTCTGCCATTCTTATGGAGGAATAAGGTTGAGGTCTGGACTTTGACTGAGCCTCTTCAACACTTAGATGTTTTCTTTTTCAGCCACTGTTGTGTATTTGCTGCTGTGCTTGAGATCGTTGTCCTGTTGCATGACCTAGTTTCAGCCAAACTTCATCTGTCAGACACACGGCCTTCCATTTGACTTAATAACTTGATATGATAAAATACTTTAGTATAAGGAGGAGTTCGTGGTTGACCCAATGATTGCAGGGTACCAAAGTCCTATTGCTGCAAAACTGAGGCCTGTAGAGTCAGAGATTTAGGTCTTAGATTTTTCCTTAGACTATGTTCATTCTTTAATCCTTAATCTAAAGTTTTGTGACATCCTAAAGTTTCAAATGCCATTCAGCAAATTTATTCAGAATTGTTTATGCATATTATTATCACCTCAGAACCCATTGTCCCCTTTCATTTATGGAAGTAAATCATGTGACATATACTTGTCCAACTAACACTAACTACCCCGATCCCCAAGACACACTAATCTAATCTAATTGACATAATACTTTCCCTAGCTGCTTACCCTAACCATCAAAAATGAACCATTAGCCTACACCTAACCATAACATAATTGTAACCCTGACACTAAAACCACATTTTGAGTTTCAAAAATGCCTTCAAACTTGTGGAGACTTGGATTTTGTCCCAATAAGGGCTGTTGGTCTCCACAAGTATAGTAAACTTGCAATTTTTGGTCCCCACAAAGATATGTAAACATGGTACACACAGTATTCTAAACACTTACTCCTAATAATACTCTCTCTTCCTGTCTTTGTGTGTGGTGCAGTGGAGTGGTCTGTGTTTGTTTTGAGGGTGTTGTCTGAACTCAGTCTAATCCTGCTGGTCCAAGATGGTGTTGATACTGAGGTAAAAGAGGAAAGGACAGAGGAAAATAAAGAGAGAAATGAGAAGGAAGGACAGGCGGCAGAGGAAAGAGGGGATGGACTCTCGTGTATCACTGAATCTCTCCTTTCAAGGTTGGTCTGGTTTATTCTAAGTGCAGCTTCAGTGTTTCTAGATTCCTCCTGTATTTGCTGTCTCTGTAGGAACAGATACTTTCCCCTTGAATGACATTTTTAAAATCACTACAGCTTAACCAAAATAATGACAGACTGTCAGTTTAAATGATAGATATAATAATATGTAATATACAATACTGAAGTAATTTCTACCCACTCTTTTGTGCTAAGGTGTTTATGTTCACATTAACGTAAAATTTCTGTTGACTATTTTACAACCAAGACAATAAGTCTGACCTAATCCTTACCCGACACAGGTAATTTACATAAACATAATATTATAACCAAAAGAGCTTCATTAGTGATGGTGCCAGGTTAAAGACAGCTCAGTTGCAACAGATGATTTCAGAGTTGATCTTTAAAAAGTCTGAGACTGAAGTATAGAAGTCTAACAATGAAAAATTGTTGTAATAGGGTTTTTTTGAAGATGTATATCAGATATAAATGATATGGTGTGGATTTGTTGATCCACTTTATAATATGTTGTACTTTGTAAAATGCTTCTACAAATACAGAAAACTGGCAAGTGACTGTTCAATCTATGAAAAGGGGACAATGCATTTTACACAAGTCAAAGAATAGCTACACAGTACAAAAAAAGATGCTTGTATGATAGCCTCACAGGTTACGGCTTGTTCACTTTTATTTCTACCAATATTTCTCCTCCTCAAAGTCAGTCCTTTCTTCCTCCTAGTTTCTCCCCTAGCTGCTTCTGTCTATGTTCTTTTCTCTGCTTCTCCTATTATAAGTCTAGTTCTCCCCTCCCCCTCTTCTTCACCCCTCTCTCCAGATCTGTTCTAGTTTTCTCTCTCTTACTAATGATCAGAACACTGCATTAATTATTAACACTTCGAAAGCCAAATGTTGTACTCAGACATGTTTATGTCTAGGTACGAGACTCTACTACGAGCACCGGAGCCTATACCCCTCCATGCACTCAAACTGTTGGTATCAATGACTGAACACAACAGTCAAATCTGCAGGTAATGTGAACACATCAGCCACACACACAATTAATCACAGACAAGAAAGATTGTTGAAGCATTGTGACCTTGCTAATATGAACTTTACTTGTAATCTTTATTAGGATAATGTTGTTTACTGGTAATATAGTAAAGAAAGTATTACAAAATACTCCTAGCATCCATTTAAATCCATTATCTGCTTCTCTATTTTTTTCCCAAGACGCAGAATAGGTAGCACGCAAGTATTTTGCAGTCCTAGCAGGTTCAGATACAAATATACACGGGCGCATTTTAGGCACTCTGTAATGTTTTAATGCCAAGGCCATTCATTCCCAATTCAGCACTGTGAATCATTCACACACTGCACACAGACACACACACACAGACACACACAGATGAATGTTCACTGTCTTAAACACACACAAACACACTCCTCCGTATTATAAGCGGTAATTTATTTGCCAACTCCTGAACACAGATATACACAAATGATTATTTGCTTGTTGTAGGTGATGCACATTCAGAGCTAATAGCAACAAAACCTTCACAGCTCCAGCACTGCTGGTGATCTGCATTCAATGACACCCTTTGAGCACCCTTAAAGGCGGTATTTTCTACATTAGTAATCAGTTTAGTGGCAGGCATAAGGTGCTGTATCAGCTGAGATGTGTAAAGACTTGACATGTTGTGCTGATATACCTTGGCACACTAGCTAGTCCAGAGAAGCTTTGCTTAAAAATGCGACACACGTTCTTTAAATATACGACACTAAGACAAAATTATTGCTCGTGTTGAAGTGAGATTCACTACTGCATAATGTGGAAGTAATTCACTATGCAGGAATTTAAAAAACATCGCTCAGAAAAGCAGTCATCTGACACCCAAATAAAAAGTGGTAATGATGTGTTGCTGTTGCACAGGAAATTTGCTGATTCCTTGTCTAGCCATGAGATGACTCACTTGTGTGTGCATGTTGTGTGTGTGTGCGTGCGTGCGTGCATGAATGCTTGCGTAAACACATGTGTGTGCATGATGATGTATGTGTGTTTGATAGATGTGCTTTGACAGCAGCTGTCAGTAAGTCTTGATTCTCTGGTCATCTGTCTTCTCGTCTCAGCTGTTGGCAGGGATAGAAAGTGTGGGTGAATAGAGAGGAGGCAGAAAGATTGAGGAGGGGAAGTGGATAAAGGTGCCAGGAAAAGGATAGGAGGAGGAACTAGGAAAGAGAATCTTGGGAGAAAAGAAAATGTTGATGAGGCCAGAAGGGTTGAGAATAAAGGAGAAGTGTTAATTGGTTAGAAAGTATAATTAGATGTGTGTCACCTGGCTCAGAAGATAACTGGAGGAAAGAGCAGGGGAAAACGGTAAAACTATGTGCAGTTTACACTATGAGATATACATTTCAGCTCAGGAACACTATGTTGTAAACTGTAGTTGTTACTTCAACAATACTCTCAGCATTTTTAGATTTAGTTGACTCTGTGTAAGGCATGCTCTATTTTAGCTCTAGAAATGCAGTCATTCATATTGGTGGAACACAATTTGGACATGGACATGTACCTGGTCAAATGCTGCAGTTGATCCAGAGATTTACATTTAATCCTTCATCTTTAATCACTAAGTATTAATTTGGAACAATGATTAAGCCTCTGTTTTGTGGTTTCCTCATTTCCATCCCAGCTTCTTTCCACATTTTATCTTCTCCAGCAATAATAGTTCAACAAATCTCTAATCACTGCCAGTCACCTTCCATCTCTATCCATCCCATCCTCCTCTACTCCTAGAGTTTAAAGTTCGTCCTCACAGCTGAGTATGCCCCTACTTCTCTTATCAGTAATATTACCCCATTTCGTCTCCATCCTTCTCTTCCACCACCTCTCCTCATCCCCCTTTTTCTTAGACACAAGTAGAGTGACGTGAACTTTTCAAATTGGTGTCAGGACTCTTTCCTCTACATCTGTTTTCGCGCTCACTCTTTTCCTTTGACATTATTAACAACATTTTACATTTTTTTTCTCTGCCTCCCTCGCTCTCATTCTCTCACCATCTCTAATTTATTAACATTAGTCCACATTTTTCTTTTTCTCTGTGCCCTTTCTCCACAACTTTCCCTCCATCACTGCGGTTATACAATCAGAAATTAAATTGCCTGGGTCTTGGTTAGATAAGTGTGGCTATGAAGCCAGCCGAGCAGTAATTAGATGGTAAATTGGGGACATTAACGTTGGGAAGGCAGCCTGCTGTCTCTCTCTCCATTATCACAGTCCAGACACACCTTCAAACAACTACATTTACTATGACCTTTAGCCGGAGAACCTCATGCTGTGTGGTTACATATGTGTTTGCCCATGGATTTTCAATTTCCTTTAAGGCATCCTTTCAGCATATGTGCCATATGTGTCGATGTGGTATTTTCACGCATACCCATCAACAAAGTAAAGAGGTAGTATTTGTCATAGTTTAACAGTACAGATTTTATTTTGATAAGATTTTATATTTAAACAACTCGTGTTTTCTGCCTGTTCTTTCCTTTTAATATGGACTCATAGACTCAGTCTATGAGTCTAAATCCATTATATCAAATTGCAGTAGTTAATTGGACACCAACATCTCTCTGTTCTATGTAAAGTGGATTCATTAACTGTTAACACAAAAGTGGCCATTTTCTCAGGCTAAAACGCTGTAATTGCCTCTAACAGCCTGTTTTACTGGTCTTACTCTCCACTGTAAATAAATGGGAAAAAAAGGTCTTTTTTTAAGTTAGTTATTAGAAAAAAGTATAATTGTCCTCTCTAGGCAAGTACTAATACATTATGGTATCAGATAATTTGTCAGTGCTGTTAATTATAAGCCCCTGACTGTAGCTATCTACTTCGTTGTATTTATCATCTCTTTATGTGCAAAAAGGTTTCATTTTGAATTTTGTTAGCTTTACAAAGCTGTGTAGCTGACATAAAGTATATAAAACTAGAGTAGAGCTGAGGTTAATAAGCGCATACTGTGGTATTTATTGAATTACCTCTAATGAAACAGCTGTTGAGTGAATGTGTGATGTGATGATGATGCAGTGCAGCATTGTCTCGTCTGTGTTTTCCTATTATAGGTTGTCTCTTGAACCCTGTTCATTGTATGCTGTTGCGCCCTGTGTCCTGATGAATGGCTGGTAGTTTAAAGGTGGTCCAGTTTATCATGTTGTGCTGGCCTGGCCTGTCCTTTCATCTCTGAGCCTATCACCTCTCTAATAGGAGGCCATCCATCACATCTACAAGCAAACAATCAGACCCAAACAATAACAAATGCACACACACACACACACACACACACACACACACACACACACACACACACACACACTTTAACACATGTCTAAAAGGTTGAACTGTACATTAAAATACATCACCATGGCAGGTAAAGAGAACCTACAACAGCAATCCATTACGTTCCTTAAATTCACATTTCTTCAAGCTTCCTGCACCTGTAGTCAGTGATTGTTTTCAGTAAAGATTATGGAGATTGAGTGACTGCAACTAAAGATAAAGTTACACTGTGCTTATACTTTTGTGGTGCTGATGACAGCATCCATCAGAATATCTCAATTCACCAAAGTAAATCTAACAATGTAACCATGAAGGGATCTAATGTTACTAACTAAAACCACAAAGTTAACTATTAAACAATAGTTACATGATGCCCAGGAAGTACGTGCAGTGGTGTAGAGAATATGTTATCATCATGAAACATGCATGCTTTGTTCTGGCTCTTTGTATACAAGGTAGGTGAGAGGACATCAGTATCTGATGGAACAAGGAAACCTAAAAGAACAAACACTCACAGAAGACAGTATATAAGTACAAATTACCTGTAAGTGGTGAAAAAAAAAAAGACGCTTGAGCTCTGAGGACAGCCTGAGATGATCATTTGGTATTCTTTGCTGTTCAGATGTTCTTTTTACTTAGTCATCTGACTTTGTTTGTTTGTTTGTTTGTTTTAATGAAAATGCCTCCAGGTTAATGAGCCATTGTTTTCACTTTCTAGAAGCAGCACACCAATAAAATGCTGTCCCATATTTGTAATGAAGTGGAACATTTTGTTTGCTAATTTAAAAAAAAAGGGCAGTTTTTTAAGTTTAAATCCACATTTCCATAGGTTGAATGATCCTGCTGGAGAACCTATAAATCATAGTTAGAACATGGACAGATTTATAAATCAGTGGGCAGGCTTTGTTACCGTCAGAATATCAACACCTGTCTGATTTTTGCTATTTTTATTCACATTACTGCCTGAATGCTTTCTTGCTTACTAATTCACAAAGACCCATAAACAAAATGTGCGTGCATATATGTAGACACTCCACCCACTCAGTAACTGATTGAGGTTTAAAGAAGATCAATCAAGAAGTAGACAGAATGTCATTGTCAATATAAACATCCATCTCCCTCCCTCCCTCCCTCCATTTTTCTTCTTCTGTCTCTTGCCTTCCCCCCAAGCTTTTCATTACTCCTTTTTATTTTCCATTTTCCTCTCATTCGTTTGTTCCTCCACCTCCTCCACCTCACACCTCTTCTCTAATCTTCCCTCTTTTTCCTCCACTTTGCAAAATGTAATCTTTTCTAACCTTATCTTGCTTTAAACTCTCATCACCTTTTTCCATGTCCTTCCCTCTTGTCTCTCACCTGCTTTTACTTCATCTGCTCACATCGCTTCTTCTCTTTTTCTTCTCGCAATTCCACTGGTACTAGACGGAAGTCATTGTACCAGAACTCCACCCTTAATGAAGATGAAATAGCCACTTTTATCTGCTTGTGTGTGTGTGTGCAAACAGCATGCCTGAACAGCACATTTAAAACATTAAATTAATTCCTTGCCCTGATTTTTCTGCTGCTACCTAAAATGTATATTCTCTTTTTCTTCTCCTTTTCAGGTTGATCAAACGTAGTAGGATCCTACCAATGGTCTTTCAGCTCATTATGGTAAGAAAGCAGTGATGTTTCATCATTTAGTCTTCAAGCCAGTATCTAAATTACTTTACCAGTCAAACTGGTCAGTAAATTCAGTGCAATTTTAAAATAAGCTCATCAAAGTTTGTATTATTGTAGCATTTCTATTCTGTTTATATTCAGTCTATTATGTCTGTTTCCTTCTTTTTGGTCTCTCCTTCCATCTAACCCTCAAATGTTTATGTAAATTAGTCTGAATAATGTTGACCTATTAGAGGGCTGGTGTAATTGACTGGCAGGTCAGCAGCAGAGAGGAGGAACGGCTAATAGAGTGGAAAGATGAACTCTGCTATTAAGATCATGTACAAGGGCTTGCACGCAAACACATGGCACTCGTCTGTTCTCAGTGAGCCATAACAGTGTTTCCAGTAAACCATTTCACCTGACCCTTTTTGCATGCGAACAATTTAATGCACCCACCAACACAGTACAACCAAACCAGCTCTAATTTATGCTTCACACAAACACATGCACTCACACAAACGCGCACACTCAATAACTCTGTTCTGCATGGCTGCCTGTCCAGCCCCAGCTAGCTGATACAGAATTTTAAACACTGCTGTCCAACAGCCTGATTAACTCGTCTCCTGAACCAGTCATGTCTGGATCCATTAGTGCCGTCTATATTGCTCACATTTGAATTGATTTATACTCCCTGAAACTCTCTGATGTAGATTGATTACACCTGTCGCTGGTGATCACACTTGTCATGGAGAAACTCACCTAATTGTATTTGTCTAAATGATGTAGTAGTTCTGCTTCAGACATGAAAGGACCTCAGGATGCTGGTTAGACCACGGCTCTGAACGGGGTGTTAGCCGTGCCTGAGGTGGCAAAAGACTGATCAGAGGGGAATGCTTGCAGTAAATGCTTTAACAAATCCTGCCTGGCTGAAAGTGTTCACAGTGCAGCTACACCGCTTATGCAAGTCAGATACTTATCCCTTCATGTGCAAGGTCCAAGTTAAACTTTGGTTTGCCGTTCCTCACTGTCCATTGTCAGCTTTATGCTTTTAGTGAGAACGTACAGTACAGTGCAGTATTTTTATAGCTTTTTTGTCTTTAAAGATCAAAATAGATTAGCTTTGTCATTTGTGGCTCCTGACAGGCAGTTTGTCCTCAGCACAAACTGATGTCATTGTCTCCAGCCGCAGGCAATTGCACATGATGAGTACTAGCCAGGCTAATCACCACGTACACAGATCACACCGATGTGCACCAACCCTGCAGGCAGAGCTGGTGTATCTCAGAGAGGATCAAATAGTGAAGTGGGGGCAGAAGGGGGAAGGAGAAGTGAATTACTGTAGGAGGGAGGAGAGAATATTTTGAAAAGAGGAGAAAGATGAAGTAAGAGGAGTAAATAGGATGGGTAAGAGGGAGGTGAAGATTACACTTTCAGTCTTTAAAAACAAATAAATAAAGGCACCTTTTTTAATAAAACAATCCACTACTTTATTAAATAATTAACTGTGTTCTCAAGACAGTATATGCAGTATAAATAACAAAATGATGACAAAACCATGTTAGATATTAGCTGTTTTGGGTTAATTGTGAAATGTTATAAGCAAACCTGTAATTTACTTATCCTGTGTCTGTCTCCTGTTTTTCTAGGCCAATAGAAGTAACGTTATCAGTGGGATAGTCCAAAACGCAGTTGTTTTGCTCTGCAATCTTAGTGAGGGCACAATCCAGGATCAGCAACCACTGTATCAACAAGGTAGAGTGTGTCTGAATTCCTCATGGTGAGAAAGATCTAGATTTTCTCTCCTTTAAAAGGTACTAAATTCTTCTTATATTTTCCTGCATTGTGTTGCAACACATGTACTATTATCAAGGACACTTAGTCATCGAAAGGCATCTGTTCTGCTCACATTAGTGATTGTTATGTTACTTGTTGACATCCCTGATACCCGACCACATTGTAGTGTAATGCTTATTCAGGTCAGCAACCTTGGCTGTGTGTGCCTGAGGCGGAGGTCATGCTTTTTGTCTCTCAGCTACTGTGAATAATCTGAGATTTTCCTGTCAATTGCAAGTGATTCCAGGGGATCCTTAGGGAGAAGTCAAATTCATGTTTTTTGTTCTCTTGGTGTGAGGACATTGTTCAGAAGTCTAGTTTAGGCCTATTCTGGCCATGAAGAGTTAGTTGGGGATTAGGACTTTAATTAGGAGGAAGCAATAGTGAGGCACAAAGCTTTGGTACACTGTGGATGCCTGCCCAGAATATTTGTGTGTGTGTGTGTGTGTGTGTGTGTGTGTGTGTGTGTGTGTGTGTGTGTGTGTGTGTGTGTGTGTGTGTAAATGTTTTGGGACCCACAGTTCAACAGTGTGATTGCAACACCACAATAACACACATTTTCTCAAGTTTCTATTTGAGGACTGTGTTCATTTCTTTCTTTCTTTTTTATTCACTCATCATTCTGTTTCATTTTGTCCATCTTTATATACTTGCATACTAACTCCTCCTCTCCCTCTGTTTCCATTGGGTCAGCAATGGAGCAGTCTTGAAGTCAGCATCATTATCATCCAATCAGCACCTCTCTCAACAAGAATCTGTCAACCCAGCACTAATACTGGCCTGGCAATTAACGCTATCTCCACTCCTCTCCTCTTGTTCTGTTCCCTCCTCTCCTCCTCTCCTTTTTGTCTCGTGCTATCAGCCACTTTTCCAATCTACTCAGCTCACATCTTGGCCCCTCATCTCCTTTCCTTCCTCACGTCTGTTCCCAGTTTTACCCTCTCCCATCTCCTCTATTTTGGGCTCCTGTTCTGCCTTCTCGTCTTTCTCCCTTGTTTTCCTTGTGGTCCCTCCAGATGAGTGTGGTGATGGCAAGAACGAAGGGAAAGGGAGAGAAGGAAAGAAGAGGAAAAGGGAGGAAGCGTGTATAATTGGGTTTTTAAGGTGTGACAGAGCGAGGAGGGGAAGGGTGGTGTTCTTGTTCATGTCGTGTGTGTGTGTGTGTGTGTGTGTGTGTGTGTGTGTGTGTGTGTGTG